CACTTGGGATAATCACTGTTAACATTTTAGTGTTTATTCCCCTAGTTTTGTTCCCATATTTATCTCTCTCTATTTCTAAGATCCATACTCCTATAGATCTGAGCCCTGGAATTACGTTTGTCCCAATCCTGCTGCCCGATTCTCATTCTGATTTATTTCTCATAGGGTTGAAGCCCTCTTTTGCTTCCAAATACACTATGGGGTAACATTTGAGAAAAGTAGGTGCCTGCAGGAGCCTCCGCTGAAATCTACTCTTTGAAGCTTAATGCAGAAATGTGGGATACTGCCAGCCCCAGAACTCTCTGCGAAACAAAAGTTTCTGTTCCAGATGAACATTTCATCTTTCGTGATCTGCACCTCCTTGAATTTCCAGAGTTTGTGGAAATAACAGATCCCAGTGCAATGGCACGACCAAGACGATCCGGTTATTAATCTGTTTTTCTCTTAAGCTCTTTGATATACGGTCGCAAATGTTCCTTCTCCAGCACCTGTCACGTGCCTAACCCAGAGCAGCCCTCAATAAATGATTTGTCGTCTGACTGGCTGACTTACCCTTCCACAAAGACGCCTCCTGCTCTTAAAGAAATGACCAGTAAAACTGTAATGGCAGTTCCAGGGGATAAATAAAGCACATAGACGTATAGGCTACTTTGGCACAAATGCTTAAACAACTTAAGTTAAAATAGGAGTGGTCAGTGGAGCAGAATTCTAGCATTTCATGGGGCACTGAACCTATGTCCCCTCTTTCCAGAAACTTTCTTACGTCTTGGCCAGGATTCACAATACTCTCAAAGTCATCACCACCCCACCTGTTCTCCATTTCCCATAAAATCCTGAGTGCCAGGGAGAAGGAGATGAACACCGTCCCTTCCATGGCCACCCTAATACCTCCCTGCTCAAAGTGGGGCAACAACTGGCTGAACCAGAACTTGCATTTTAATGAGACCCACCCCCCGGGGTGAAGTTCTAGAATATTCTAGAATATTCTTCTGTTTGCCACACTGATAGCAGAGTTTGTCTTTAAAACCAGAAAGGAAAATATCTCCTTGACTTTGGGATTTTGCATCTGCCATTCCCTCTTCCTAGGACACCTTGTCTCAAAATCTAATTTCTACTTTTCCTTGGAGTCTCAGCTTAGTTATCACCTCCTCCAGGAAGCATTCTTTGGATCTCTTGAAGTAGGATTAGATGTCGCTCCATGTGCTCTGTAGGGTGTCATGCTTTCTAGCCCCGTATTATAGTTCCTCGTTTTGTTGGATATCTCCAACTTAGACTATGAGCTCTCTAAGTGTAGGGAATTATATTTGGTAGGTTCTCCATAAATACTTTGAATGGAAGATTGCTCTCCATTTTAAGGAAGAGGAAACTGAGGCTCAGAGAGGTTAAGTAACTTTCCCAGCATCACACAGCTGTCAGTGGCTGAGCTGGACTTTGAGCTCTTGACCAGGCCCCTTGTCCACACCTTCCTTTTCTTCCTTTGACCCTAGGAATTCTTAGTTTGGAAATACAGACAAAACACTAAATATTTACTCTGAGTCAACTTACTACTTAGGATTCAATTAGCTCAGTTGGACAATTTGATAACAACATTAAACTTGGCTGATGGAACCTCAGCTACAGGTTGGGAGGGAAGCTAACACATGAGTATTTTTCTGATAGGCTGGTCTTCAGTTGGCTTGTCCAGAGCGTTCAGAACAGAGGTGACAGTTCTGAGGGATATTGAAGCTAGAGATGACAGGGTCTTCCCCACAGCCAATTATAGTGAGCTGACTGCATCAATGGCCTCAAGAATGGTCGCTGGCTCTCCATCAACCTTCCCTGTAACTTTGTAACCCCTTTTTTCTCTGACTCTGGCTTGGCCTTGCAATTTGTTTGGGCCAATGAAATGGTAGCAAACATGACTCAAAGCCAGAGGCTTCAAAATTGGGTGTGCATTCATTCTAGTCCTGCTCTTGAACCCCTGCCTCTGCCATCAGAACATGTCCAGGCTAATCTGCTGGAGGGATGTGAGAAACAGACAGACAGGAGCTAAGTCATCCCATGATACCAGCAGAGGCTGTCCTTCACCAGCCACTCAGCCAACTTGCAGCTCACTGCAGTTACATGTGTGAGTCCAGCCAAGATGAGCTTAGACCCACCAGCCCACAGACTCCGGAGAAACAATGAACTGTCATGGTTTCAAGGCACCAAGTTTCAGGAATGGTTTGCTATCAAGTATTACTTGTGGCAACTGCTAACTGATAGAGCACCCAGGGGACTGTCAACGCCTTGCATCTGATGGCAACCATTTGGAATAGACAAAGGATTTGGGTCTTCATTTCCTCTTAGCTATCAACCTCTCTAAACATATAATGCTTGAATTAAGTTCTATCCAACAAAGACCTTTATCTATCTCTATACGAGTGTTACATGTTGGTCTAAAATACGGTCTCCTCAAGGAACCATGTATTTCTAAGGTCGGTGAACGCTGGGACCAGCACAATTGGAATTCTTCTTATCATAACGATCAAGCTACACGTGGCACAGCCTTCTACCTCCGTGGTCTCATAGGCCTCCGCTAGAGAGACAAGAGTCTCAGAATAAAAACTGCGTGGTTCTCAAATCCCATACATACAAAGTGAGATAACTTTGTCCTCTCAAGATCCAAGTCAAGTACCACAGTTACCATCCCTATTTTCTTTTGCATGAATTACAACACGTTCTGCTCTCCCCACCATCATTGTGCACATTGCTGTCACCACATGATCACCACAGAGAGAAAGCAACCAATGTTATCTGGATTTTATGGAAATGAAGGTCCCACCAGTCCCTCAGTAAGGGATAGGATATGATTTTGCTGAAATCCAAACAGGTCAGTTAGGTTCCCGATTTAACCCTGTATAGGAGACCAGTAATTTATTTATCATTTTTTAAAATTGAAAGTCACATAACATAAAATTCACCATTTGAACCATTTTAGAGTATACAATCGAGTGGCTTTTAGAACAGCCACAATGTTGTGCAACCATCACCCTGTGGAGTCATGTTTTAAACCATCTTTGTATTCTTGGCGTGAGAGGTTTGTTGGAAACAAAAGGGACAGTATATCTATCCTAAGTGCAAGATTCCATTGAGTTCCCAGTGAGCTGGGAGAGAAAGAACATTTTAATAAGCCACTAACTAGAACCATTTCGGCATCAAGCCTGGGCACAGATCCCAGCCAGGTCCCACCTGATTCCTGTGCCCTCTTCCTGCGGATGCAACACCTTCGCCATATCCCAGCCAGTCCTGACATGGACACACCGTTCCAACATGTGGGAAGGTTGCTGAGAAGCGCTTGTTTTTCAAAGGCAGGCGAAGGAGGAAGTGACATTTGCGTTTTGTGCTTTGGGTCCACAGACTGGTAAAGGATGACGTTTCTTTGTTTCCTTGAAACGTGGCTTCCTCTTCCGTAACAGTTAAAAAAAGAAGTTTAGCTTCTGGGTAGAATAAGCAGAGCCGGGAGAGCGCCAGCCACCAGCTCGGCGCTCTACGATTCAGCGCTGCTCGGATGCCATCTACCCAGAGACACAGCATCGGGTCCCACAGGTCGAGGGCTGCCATCCCGACGTGCACATGCCTCCTAGAGCCCAGGAGGGAGCCTCGGCTGCCCCCTGCGCTTCTGGCCACCTGGCTGCAGATCGGAGGTTCCCACGACCTCGTCCTTGAAGACGGTTCATTTCCCAGAGTGGCTCACGGAACTCAGAGAAAAGAGTTTCGTTCCTAGGTCACCGGTTTGTTATGAAAGGATGTATGTAGCTCAAGAACAGCCGTAGGGAAGGGCGGGGTGCATGGAGCCAGGCACGGCGAAGCGACCGGGGCTTCCACCACCTGCAGGCGCTCGCCAACTTGCAAGCTCTCCGAGCCGCATCCTGTTGGGCTTCACGGAGCTTCACTGAATGAGCATGATTGACTAAAGCATTGGCCGCTGGTGACCGGGTCACCCTCCAGCCCCTCTCATCTCCTTTCGGTCAAGGGTGGGACCGAAACTTCCAGTCTTTTATTCACATTGGTTCCTGCAGCCACCAGCCCCCCATCCTCAGGTGTTCTCCAAAAGTCACCTCATCAGTATAAACCCAGTCGTGGTGGAAAAGGGTTTGTTGTAAATAACAAGACACCCATCTCACTTGCGGCTCAGGAACTGACAAGAGACCCAGTATTATTACAACCGATGATGCTATTGCTGTTCTCTCTGGAGAGTCCAAGGGTTTTAGAAGCTGCGCGCCACAAACAGGGAGAGGACCAAATATATATTTATGGTTCAAAATGACGGTATCACAGCAGGGCAAAGGGAAACCAAGAAAGGATGGTGGTACCCCTGGAAGGAGCAACAGGGAGGAACGCCTCACCTCTCGCTTAAATGGGCACAGCGATGGAGCTGGTGGAGCGAGTTGGAACGTGCCTCGGGGGGCGGCAGAAGAATCCAACCAGCGTGCAAGGGTGCGGGGAAGGAGGAGCTCAGAAAATCAATATTCCCGGCTCTCTCTCCTCCTGCCCTCTTCTCTCCTTCCCCTGGTCAAACCCAGTTGGAAGACGGAGCAAAGAGAGGCCGAGTAACGCAGCTTGTGCAGGCAACCTCCTAGTGCACAGAGAGGGTAGCAAAGGCTGGATGCCAGAGTCTTTCGCAATCACCCAAAGTGAATCGTTATATGTTTTTTAAAGTTGGAGAGGCAGCCACAGCCCGTCGGACCATTCCTGAGACCAGGCATTTATGCCCTGGGGTTATGAAGTGAGATGTCAGTTGGTGCCCCGTCATCACCTGGTTTCCCCCGTTGGACACGGGCACCACGTCCAAGTTCATTTTCCAAGGCACGTCAGTGGGTCCACCCTGGGCATGTACTGTTACAATGACTCAAAGGGAGAGAGAACCACATTATGCAAACCCCCAGCCAACACCCCCAGGCTTCTGTCTCACCCACTCACAACCCTCCTTGAGAAACGGGGACTCAAGATAAGAAGCCACCCTACTTCCTTTTTTCCTGAGCTCAGAAAAGCTGCTAACGCCGCGTGAGAGGCAAAGACTCCCCTCTCGTGGGTAAGTTGGAACTGGTTTGATGTTTTCCTGTAGAAAGTAGAAAATGTTTCGCGTGTGATCTTGGGGGTGGAAAAATGTCTGGCAGTGGATCTATTTTCAAGGAAGACCTGGTTCTAGGTCCTGTCGCCTAATTTCTTGGAAGCTGCTACGCGGGCATCTATCTCTCATTCCTTCCCCCACTCTGCTTGGGCAGGGAGTGTGTGTGTTCTGTGTAGTGTGGGACACACTCAAGAGAGATGGTGAGTGTGTGTTAAGGGGTTTAAGGTGACTTAAAATAATACGGTTCCGAGAAATAGAGTCTGAAGCAAATGTGGCATAGAACCAATTTGTTATTAAAAATGAGCAAAGCAAGCCCTTAAACAGTGAGTGAGTGTACAGAGGCCCCGGCATGGATGAAAAAGCTCTGTTAAATCAGCTCAGTTAGATGCCAAGCTCACGCAGAAAGGACTGTATTTTATTCATGGCCGAAGAATCTACAGGTCATGTTTTCCAACCATCTGCTTGTGACACCCTGATGGGGGTGAGGGGCTATGGGGGGGCGGTGAGGGTGGGGGGCAACATCATGAACCAGCTTAGTAACAATCAGCATTTTAAAATTGTAAGTTTGATTGTAATTTAGCATTTGATTATTTCATTGCATCATTTATACCGTTAGATTATATCACCGATCATATATAATTATATATGTGATAGATCATTTATAATGTCATTTATTATGATATAAATGATCAGATGCTGCATGTAGCAAATAGTGGTTTGTGAGACTTTCTTTATCTCTCCCTTTCTCTCTCTCCCTGATGTAAAATGTATTTCTTACTGTGGGTTATGGACAAAAATCTTTCCAAATCAGCATGGCTAGATAGGCGAAATGTTTCAGGCCCAGGACGACAAGTACTATATGAGCTCACCTATGCGCATGCTATGGTCGTCAGTGTCATAAAAGCAGAGGGTGGCGTGGTGCTTGCCTGGGGCTGGGAGGAGGGGACGCAGGACGTGATGGTCAAAGGGTATAAAGTTTTGGTTATGCAAGATGAATCAGTTCTGGAGGCCCTCACACCACAGCACCTACAGCCAACAATCCCGCAAGGTGCACTTAAAATTTACTAAGCAGGTAGCTCTTATGTTAAGCGTTCTTGGCACACACACACACACACACACACACACACACACACACACACACTAATCATAATGGGGATAGGAGTAAACTTCAGGGGGCAACGCATATGTTTCTGGCTATGATGATAGCGACGGTTTCACGCGTGTATAATCACATTCAAACTCATTGAGTTTTATACGTTTAATATGTCCAGCTTTTTACCTGCTGATCGAATCTCCGTAAAAGCGGTTTTAAAACCCCACTGGGGAGGAAGAATTTTCTTCTATCCTTCAGGGTTCTTCTAGCTGGTCTACGAATGAAATGGATGTGAACCAGATAAACAGGAGGAAAAAAACACAAAGTTTAATGATGTCTGGAGGGAGGCCAGCAATGAAACCAAGGCCCCAAACAGTGACCAATGCAGGCAGCTGTTATGTATATATATACATTGTAGACAAACAGACGGTAAATGAGGGAGGAATTTACAGGTCGAGGAAAACTGTGTGTGCCAGCATTTGGGCTGGGGTAGCAGAATAATAAAAAAGTAACAAGATTTGTGTGTGCAGCCTTCACCACTCTGAATTCCCTGCCGCTGGTGACGGGGGTGCCTTTTTTCCTCCGGGTGCGGGATTCAGGTTCCTGGCTAGGGGGGGACAGCGGAGTTCCCTCCTGCTCCTGCCGTTTTCTCCAGTCGCTTTACTTTAAAATAGTCAATGTGCCAAAGGAGTGCATCTTGGGGGGCCTGCCCTTGGCCCCCGATGAAACAAAACAATGGGAAAAACCAAATCAGGGCTGCTGGGGGTCTCAGCAGTTTGGAAAAACAGTCACCTCTTTCACTTAAAATACTCACTTGAGTTAAACCGGTTTCAAACGAGGTGTCACAAAAGAACTGGCCTCATCCAGCCGGGGTTTCTTGACACTGAGAGGTTTCACAGTGTATTCAGAGTAGGTATTTGGGGAGAAGAGGAACGTGAAGCCAAAAAAGGAACAGACGCCGTGAGACGGGAAGGTACTCAGGGAGAGACCAGGTTTAAGTCCTGGAAGATTCCTGCATGGACAGAATTTGATTTTCAGTCATAGGTATTGACTGTGCAGAGGTTGCAAAGCGGTGGCCCACGGGCTCTGCATTTAGGGAAAAAGTGATTTGAATGATTTTAGGCAGAACCCGTGGTCTTCGGACCTTCTCAGTTCTTACTGACCCCTCCCCAGGTGGCCTCCCTTCTTATACTACAAGTTTGACACCTTGAAGGCTTTGGGATTTAAGATCTCAGTTGGGAGTTATACGTGGACTTTGGACTCAGCCTGACTTCATCCGAGTCTTAGCATTTCACTTTGATGCAAACTGATAGAATCTTTTTGAGTCACAATCTAGGTCATCTAAGCATTTTTTTTTACCCCTTAAATTTTTTTTTTTTTTTTGATGAAGAAACTGGATCATTTGTCCCATGGGGTTTCTTACTGGTTGCAATAGGCCAGCAGAATATTCCTGATACATCCCGAGTATTCTGAATGCCTCTTTTGATCCCCATGTGCTGGGTTGTACGCTTGTTTCCCAGAAGCTACTCGGTTATGGTCAGCCTGGCAGGAACCTTTCTTTGAGAGAATTTCCCAGATGGGTCAAACAATGGGCTAAAATGAAATGAAAGGGTCTTAATAAGCATGGCCTACCTGGCCTTTGAAGTCTGTGACCATTGGAAATTGACTTCCACGGGGCTTATTCATTCCAGGAACCCTTGCTGCATCCCACGTGAGAGTCCTTCTCGGATCGCTGCAGCTGCATCTCAGTGCTATGGGAAGCAGGTGCCTTCCCCTGCTCTCAGGTGCGTGGAACAAAGAATTCCCCTCCCCAACGCCCCCCACCCATGTCCCCAGGATCCTAGCTTTGGGTACTCTGCCCAACCCAGTTTGGCCCTGTCTCCAGAAATGACTGTGTGCACCCGTCCTGTTAGAAACTCATACTGCGTCGCTTGGTTGTTTGCCCCAAAGCAGAACTGAAACACACTTGGGTGTGAGTTGTTTATTTGGGAGGGCGTGCCAGGGAGCACAGGGGAGGGATGGGGGATGTCAGGGAGGGAAGGGAGAGGGGCGAAGGAAAGGTGTGCTAATGGGCGCTGCCGCTGTGGGCGACGGGCCCTCATTCCTGCTGGGCACTGCCCAGGAGGCAGTAACTAATGCGTCTTCAAAGGGCACAGACACTGGGCTGTTATCCTGAGTCCTCATTTCTTACTGCTTGACGGCTGCTCCGGGTGTCATTCCTGAACATTTCCGGCTTGTCCCCCACGGGCTGCAGAAAAGTGCCCTCTTAAAGAATGATGCAGTAGGTCACCTGCTTTCGTAGGAACTCTGTCTGGGGTAGTAAGTCTGGGGACTTTAAGCATCTGCTACACTGATCGCCCTCCAACAGGGTCTGTAGCTTTGATTGTTACAATGACTGGCATCCACCCACCCCCTGCAGCTCTGGGCTTTGGAATCTTCAAGGAAATTTTACAAATACGGCAGGAAGAGTGGAATACACTTTCAGGCTAGCAGTGTTGCGGGGCAGCTGCGTCTGGGGAGGTCTCTCCCTGCGTGCTAGGGGGAGCACTAGGAGAAGCCCCAACCTGGGCGGGGGAGGGTTCTGGACTCTGAATGAGAAGGAATTCTCGAGCAGGCTGACGATTGTAGGTAAGGAAGGCATTCACTACAGTGAGAGCGGCAGGGAGCGGCAGCTGCCTCGCAGGCAGCACGGATCGAGGAAGCAGCTCATTGAACTCCTCGGCATGGGGCACATCCCTTGCCAACTCCCAAAGCCAGGGTCACCTGGCGTCCAGTGTCCACTTGGATCTGCACGGTGTGGGGACTAAGCCCCTAACACCCCAGGATCTGGGGGAGCCGCAGAGCACGGGATGGAGTGAGATGATGTTGTAAGATCTTCCCAAGGGCAAGGAAAGGAGATTTTCAGGCAGGCTGCTCAAGAGCATGTTCGCACAGCCGCAGTCCTGTCTGGGTCACCCAGGCAACGGGAACTTGCAAGCCCATTCTCAGAGCTCCCAGTAGCTCCTCCCTGCTTATCTGGAGTAGAACAGAGACAGAGTGAAGACTTGTGCTTAAGTTGAAAAGTAGAATGAAATAGCAAAATGACAGACACCTCTGGAAGAGCCCAGAGACAAAACACAATAAATTGAACAGTGAAAGGCTTTATTTAAAAAGTACGCACTCGAAGAAAGGGGAGTCCGGGCAACCTCAGAGAGGAGGTGCACTTAAAAGACTGGGGATCCTTTTTTTTTTTTAAAGGATTTTCAGGAATGGGATAAACGTCTGGGGCGGGGGGGTTGCGTATGTTTGTCATGCGGTCTCAGGATGTCTATCTCCAGTGAGAGACACTATGGCTTCTCCATAATCAGTCCTCCAGATAATTCTGTAAGTACACTTAACATAAGGAATTTATTGGTCCGATTCCTCTCCAAGACAGTGGTTTCCTTCAAGCACTGGGAACGTATCAGTTAAGACTGCCTGCCTTGCTTTAAGAAAGGTTGCTGACTGATTACCAAGAAATATGTTAGGAATCTTACTTTTCAACTCTGCTTTTTAAAACAGAATCTTTAGCCTTAAGATTCTTGTTCTTACTATGCTATGTCTATCTCGGCTTTTTTAGAAAGTGAATCATGATGCTTGTCCCATGTCCCTGCCCTACTTCGGTAGGTCTGTTAGGAAATCTTTTAAGTGTGCTGATGCAGAGGCTGCCGTGGTCCTTATGTGAGCCAATGAGCATCTCTGTGCTCTGAAAAAAATCCATTTATAGACATAGAAATGTGAAATTTCAGATAATTTTCACATGCTGAATCCAGAAAATTCAGATAACTTTTTTTTGAGCATTTAAAAACTGTAAAAACCTTCTTCACTCAGGGGCTGTATAAAAACAACCAGCGGTCTGCATTTGACCCGAGGACCATAGTCTGCTGAAATTCTTTCCATAGCAATCAAGTTTTTTGGGGGGAGAAAAGCATTCACAGGGGACAGGCTGATGTTTTTTGACTTACAGACATGGCCGTGTCATGTGACTCAGTCTAATATTATGAACCCTTAAATCTAATGGTTTTGTCAGTTCCCATGATATGGAGCCCAATAAATATTATAGGCGGAGTAGGAGAAGCAAGTATTGATATTATCTTAAGGGCTTGTCCTATGATGATCTTAGTGGTTTCTGCAATTCTGAATTCATCCCCAACTTTAATGCCAAGCCTCTGTGTAATAATGTGGTGGACTATTTTAGATCACCTGCACAGTGAATCATCCTCAATACACCTTTTCCACTCGGAATTTGCCACAGTCTGGGACTCCCCACATTCTTACGGTCTGAGCTATTTGCACCTCCTCTTACTCCAGAGGAAGTGTTGGTGATTAAGTGGTTAGACCTGGTTGCCCAGCAGTAGCCACCAGCCACGTGTGGCTACTGAGCTGTGGAAGTGAGGCCAGCCTGAATGGAGATGCACCGTCCGTGCAAAAAGCATCTTGCGTCTCAAAGATTGAATACATCCGGAAAGCCATGTGGTATACTCTGTGAATAATTTGTTTTACATTAATTGTGTATTGAAATGGTGACCACTTGGCAATGTCAGGGTAAATACCTTAATGCAATTAATTTCACCTATTTCTCTTTGCCCTTTAAAAATGCAGCTACCAGGGAGTTTGAAAGGACCTGCTTGGCCCACGTTTTATTTTTATCCAAGAGTGTGGGCTTGGTGATCTGGCCTGTTGGACATGGGAAGGAGGTTCCCAGCTTGGTCCTTTGGGGCTAGACCTGGATAAAAAGCTTCACTAGCTGCTGGACTTTCAGAAATTGGGACATAGGGCTTGTGATGTTGTTTTATAATAATAAATACATATTTGGTCCTTGCCCCTGTTCCTAGCACAGAGCTCCTCAAACCATTGGAATTTCCTGCAGTGAGAACATAGAGGTGTCTTTCGTTCTGTTGATTAGATGACTTTGAGAACTTACTGAGGGGTTGGGGACAGGTGACCCAGGGAACCGACCTGGTGACTGGAGGGCATAGGGACTGGAGATTGAACCAATCGCCAGGGGCCAGTGGTTTAATGTCAAGCTTGTGTAATGAGGTCTCCTTAAAATCCAAACGGACAGGACTGGCGAGCTTCCAGGCTGGTGGAGATCTGGGGAGGGTGGTTCCCTTGGAGGACACGGAAGCTCCGGCCCCTGCCCCATGCCCGGCCCGGTGCGCCTCTTCCATTGGGCTGTTCCTTTTATATTTATCACAATAAGCCAGTGATCTAGTGAGTAACCCTTTTCTCCAAGTTCTGTGAGCTGCACTAGCAAATTAATCAAATTCTAGGACAAGGTCTTGGGAACCTCTGATTTATGACTGGTTGGTCAGAAGCCCAGGTGACATCCTGGACTCGTGATTGGCTCTTGAAGTGGGGGCAGTCTGGTAGGACCGAGCCCTGAACCCATGGGATCTGAAGCCCTCTCTGGGTGGGTAGTGCCAGAACTGAGTTGTCCAGGCTGGTGTCCAAGAACTGCTTGTTGGCATGGTCCCCTCCCCCATCCTCTCCCAACGTACCTCAGGACTGGGGGCAGAACCATTTATAGCTGTGATCAGTTGTATGACTCATGCTCAGGTAGCGTGGGGTTGCCCTGTGACCCTCAGCTGGAGAGCCTGCCTGGAAGAATCCACAGTGAAACAGCACACGTGTGACTGGACAGTGAGAGACACGCTCCTAACTCAGGCTCAGCCAGGCAGAGCCCACCACATCACCCCTCTGAACTGTCCCCCTCTGCCTTTCCAGGGCTCAGTGTCCTGCTGGTTCTGTTGGGATCAGATGCACAGAATTCTGGAGGTGAGTCTACTTGTCGCCAAAGGCCAGGGAGAAGGAAACGGGGGTCTGCAGTAAGGGGCTCCCAAGGGCTGTCCCCCTTTTCCATCATTACGTCCATTTCTTCAGCTGCAGCATGGCCCCAGCCTCCATGCTAAGCAAATTGCGTGTGCCATCTCACTCAGTCCTCGTGGCATTGGTGCAGAGAAGGTTCTGGCATGATCCCCATTTGACCAGTTGCTTCAAGAGAAGGAGCTGGCTCAAGGCCACATGGCTGGTGGACATGGGACTCAGTCCTTTCTTTCCTGAAGCCTGTGTCCCAAGTCATGCCAAGAGATACTTCTTTGACCCCATGTCTTGGATCACCCAAGAAGCAAGCCCTGAGATGAGGACTTGAGAACAAGTCATTTATCTGGGTGGTAATCCCCGGAAATGCCAGCTGGAAGTGAAAATCGCCTGGGAAGCGAGGAGCCCAAACACAGGCCCACTGGCCAGTGAGTTACATGTAGGCAGCTGGAGCTTGGCCGGAGTAAGGAGCATGCAGCTAGAGTTATTCCCCCCCAGTGGGTAAAGAGGCTGTTTTCCTATTTATTTATTTATTTTCCAACTATGGTGAAATGTGAGTAACATAAAATGTACCATCTTAACCATTTTTCAATGTACAGTTTAGCGGCATTAAGTATATAGACGTTGTTGTGCCACTATCACCATCATCCATCCACAGACATTTTTCCTCTTGCAAAACTAAGATTTCATCCCCATGAAATAGTAATTTCCCCATTTCCCCTCTCACCAGCCCTGGGTTGCCACCATTCTACTTTTTGTCTATATGGATGTGACTTGTCTAGGGACCTTGTAGGAGTGAGATCGGGCAGTAGTTGTCCTTACGTGACTGGCTAATTTACTTATCATAATATCTTCAAAGTTCATCCACATTGTAGCATGTGTTGGAAAGTCCTTCCTTTTTAAGGCTGAATAATATTCCATAGTGTGGATGGACCCCATTTCCTTTATCCACTCATCCATTGATGGACATTTGGTTGGCTTCCACATTTTGGAAACTGTGAGTAAAGCTGCTATGAACGTGGATGTGCAAATATCTATTCAAGACCCTGCCTTCAATTCGTTGGGATATATACCTAGTTGTGGAGTTGCTGGACTGTGTGTTAATTCTAATTAAGGATTATTTGTTAGGAACTGCCACACTGTTTTCCACAATAGCTGCACCATTTTACATTCCTTCCAGCAGTGCACAGTGGTTACTGCAATCTCACCACATCTTACCAACACATGTTATTCTCTGTTTATTTTTGATAATAAGGAGGCTGTTTTTTTTTTAACATACCGACACACAGGTCATTGTGTCATTGTGTGCTCTGCCACTCATGTGCGATGGGGTGAGCAAAGAGGACTCTGGTGGCTAGAGAAAGCCCTCAGGTAAAGAAACACAGGTGTGACAGTTGGAAGTTCTGCTGCCAGGCAAAAGTGGTGTTGGTGGCAGAAGTGGGATATGGACAGGGCACTGTGAGCATCTGTGTTTAGCGATGGGATGAGCATAAAAAAAGCTGTTGACAGAGCTATTCCCAAAAGGACATCCTTCTGACGGTATCTGGTACACTGTAGATGTTCAATGGCTGTTTCTTGAATGAATAAGTAAATGAATAAAAGGTCCTGTGTTCCCAGCAGCTTTCTGTTCTCACTGCCCTGAAAATGCCAAGTGCTCTAACAGCACCCACTGCACCTGTAAAGATGGATTTCAGTCCCTGTCTAAGAGGAGGTACTTCACCAAGCCTTCTGAGAGATGTGAAGGTAAAGATGCCATCCACACTTACCCTGGAGTTTGGAGGGGGCTGAGGGCATCCTTCCATGCCCCAAAACTGTGGTGTAATGGGATGCTAGTGCTGCAAAGAGGCACTACATTATGAGCTAGGAATTGTCCAGCTGTCCCAGTGTCCTTCGTGAAGTCCCTGCCCCTTGTGCCCTACCCTGCACCTGCTTCTGATGCTGGTTTGATGATTCTTGGTTTTTCTCAAGAAGAGAGAGTTCCCAGGACTCTGGGCCCTTGAAGTTTCAAGTACTGGAGTTTTTTGTTTGTTTGTCTAAAAATTCTGCAAGGGTAGGGACCAATCTGTGTCATTCATTGCTGTATAACTAGGGCAAAGAATGTCACATGACAGACGCCAAGGGAAAATGTGTTGGCCAAGAGAACATATCAATAAATTAATATTTTGGCACTCAATATCTCCCATGATCTGGCCCCAGCTTAGTTTTCTAGTTTCACTTTTCACCACTCCCATCTGCCCCAGCCAAAATCCTTTCTCATTTCCAGAAATTCTAAAGGTCACTTTGGATACTGGGGGAAATACTACCCCTGAATATCTGTTTGGTGGAAATGGAGATCTTATTGATGGAGTTATAATGTAAATTCAGAAGGGGAAGCAGAAATCCTTAGGATTTTCATTTTATTTTTTAAATTTAACTTGATTTTTAATTTATTTATTGCATTTTACTGTATTTTTAAAATTATTTTTAATTCAATTTTATTTATTATTTTAGATTTAATTTCTAGAATGTATTATTTTTTTAAGCAAAAATTATTTTTAGATTTTTATTTTTTTCATTTTCTTTTATTTTTTAAACTTAAAATACTTGTTGATTTTTAAAATTAGGATCGTACTGAATTTATAAATTAACTTCAGAATGATTGTCTTTTTATAATATTGAACCATCTTCTCCAAAAGCAGATGTTCTGGGTACACTTATGATCGACGTTCAGTAGTAGAGATTCCACAGGCAAGGGGGAAATGGTACAGTTCTATGAGAATGAAAAATGCTATTTTCTCCTGATTCACAGATATTGATGAGTGTGAGGCCGGGTTCTCAAAGTGCAAGAAGGTATCATACTGCGTAAATGAGATTGGAAGTTACTACTGCAGCTGTGTCCCACATCTTTATTTCTTAAACTGGGTGGCTGGTTTAATTAAATTGAACCATCCAGCGTGTTATGGTAAGAACCCCCAAGTACACCATGAAAAAGGAGGGGAGGGGGCAGGAATCTGAGATTTCCACCCATTTCAGGCCAGGGTAACCCAGCAAACATCTTTCCTGGCCCTTGTCCTTCATCCCAGTCTTTTTGGAGGTCATTTCCTAGGACATCTCACTCAAGCCCAGGCATCAATCACCATCTGTATGCAGCTGTCTTCCAAGTTAGTATCTCTTGGCTAGGTCTTTCTCCTGGTCTCCCAAAATGACGTATCTAACTTTCTACTTGTTTCTCTCTCAGCAACTGTTAATTCTATTTCTATGTCTGTTTATCTGTCTGATGCTAACCCTCCATGAGTCAGTACTGACGCCTCCAAATCCAATCCGATGCTGTGGCTCGTTCTAGCTTTCCTTTGGATGTGTAGATGCTTTATCCAAGGCTGAGAGACCTGGATCTCCTAGCTGCAACACATTTCCTTATTTGCTCATTCCTCGTATAATTCCATGTTTGGGGTTAGATTGGATTTCATGTCTGGCTCTACCACTTATCATCTGACTTTGTGTAAAGACCTGACTTCCATCTGCCTCATCGCTAAGTGGGAATAATAATAGCATCTACTGTGTAAGTCACGTGTTGCCACATAACAAATGACCCCGACGTTTGTGGCTTAAAACAACACGTGTTGATTGTCTATAGGCCAGGCATCTAGGCCTGGCTGACCTGGGTCCTCTGCTTCAGGGTTTCTCACAGCTACAAAGTGTCCGCCAGGGATGCAGCTTCATCTGAAGGCTCATGTTTGGAAACAAAGACTTTGCAGATATAATCAAATCAAGGTGATGTCGTATGGGATTAGGATGGACTCTAAATCCAATATGACTGGTGTCCTTACAAGAAGAAGGAGATTTGGACATAGAGGCACACACACACACACGCACACACACACACACACACACAGAGGGGAGTGTGCAAACAGGAGCAGAAGCCGGAGAAATGCCACAAGGCAAGAGACATCAAAGATTACTGGCAACCAGCAGAAGCTGGGAGAGGTGAGAAAAGGACCTTTCCTAGAGCCTTCAGAGGGACTAAGGTCCTGCTATAGCTTCATTTTGGATGTTTCACCTCCGGAAGTGTGAAGAGAACAAATTTCTGTTCTTTTAAGCCACCCAGTTCATAGTACTTTGTTACGGCAGCCCTGGGAGACTAAATAAATCCCCCATGCCTTCTATGATTATTATGGCTTGTGAAATGAGGGCAACAAGGATGGCTTAATAAGTGTTAGCTATTATGTTACATAGCCTTGTTCTAGAAACTTCTGTGTTTCTTTGACTGTGATAGTGTGTATGAGGGGGCCTTATCTACTGTACCCTGAACACAAAATACAGTTATTATTGCTGCTTCTATATGATTAACTCTGCTGACACTCATTCCTTTGGGAAGCCTCCTCTGCACCCCCAAAGTTCTGGAAACCACTGTGTATACTCCCAAGTCATCTTATCCTATGTATTAAGAAGATGTTAGACCCTTATAATCAATTATTTATTTGTCATTATTTGCTTAGTGACTTCCCCACCAGACTGTAAACTCTACAGACCCTTTATCGACCTGTGAGATTTAGCATCTGGCCTGGCTTTCAGTAGGTGCTCACTAATTACTGCTGGCTGAATTATTGAACTGGTGGCTCATCTTAATTCCCCTTAAAAAGTTGACTGTAGAAGCCATTCGGGCCTTTTTGGAGGGGAGTTAGGATAGGATGTGGAAGCAGAGGGGAAAGACCCAACCTGGGGGGCAGTGGAGGAAGGGGTGTGGGCCAGGGTGTGCTGTCTCCCGTATTCTACTTACCGGCTACCTTTCTTTCCCAGAGGACACTGGTGAGAAGCCCCAGTTACCAACGTTCACCTGGGTGAGTAAGGGGGCCCTGGGTTTGGGAAGCAGCCAGTCAGTCTTACCATGTCACGTTCCTGCTCAAATACGGCCAGGGCTCCCTGTGACCTTGAGGATTCAGTCGCTCTCGCCCCGGAGTGATTATGTCTTCTGTCCCAGGAGACATCTGGCAATGTCTGGGGACAATTTTGGTTGTGACAAAACTTGGGTGCTACTGGCAGGGTAGAGAGCAGGGGTGCTGCTAAGTCGATTGACAACCCTGGGGAAGGTTTCGTGTCTGCACAGTCACTCACAGACGTGCAGCAAGCATCTAGAGCCTGGGCCCACCCTCAGCACCTCCTAGTCCTCCTTAGGCTCTCCTTGTAGGTGCCAGATATCTCATCCTTTAAGCCTTCTTGTTCTCGAAAAAGCAGTGGAGCTGACAAGACATGCTCTCCACGGGGCTGAGTGTGATAAAGAGGCTGCATGTATCGGGTTGATAGCACAGAGCTTAGGAGCATCTCTGTAAATAGCATTGCCTTCCGGGCTCACCTGACCGCCCTTAGGTACATTCCTGCTTTCCTAAGGTACAGTCAGAGTCTACCGAATTCGCTTTCTTTCTTTCAAAGGTAACTCTGGGGAACGGAAGCAAGAAGGACATCGCGAGAGAGGCTACCCAGCTTTTGCAAAGAATAGAATGGGCTGTATGGAACGAGAGTTTTGCCTCTCCGGGAAAGCGTGAAAAATCTGACTTTGATATTGGTAAGAAACCCTGAGCATTTTCCTTATCACCAAAACATGTTATGAGGGTGGTATTTTACCAGACCTTCCGTGGAGAAGGTATGGAGAAAATTCACTCAGAATTCTTCCCGAATGCAGAAGATCTGCTCCTGGGTGACTGTTTCCTTGGAAAACTTTAAATGCTTAGCCTCCCTTACATAAAAAGTTAAGTTCCCCTTCACCACATGCTCCAATAGACACCACTTAAAAATGTTTTGCCCCTTAAATATTCTGTGGTAAAGGCTGAGCTCGCCCCTAGTTTTGGCTCTGGGAAGCACAGCCACCTCCTCTTGTCCTTGGAGTTGCGTGGCCAGGGTTGCTTATGCCATTTTAACCATTTCCTTCCCATCAACCAGAGGTGTAGAGAGGAGAGCCATCTGGTCTACCTGGCATGTGGACCATGAGATCACCAGTAGGGGGTCTTTCCAAGAAGGGAGTTCTTTAACAAGGTTCTTGGGCATGAGAAGTGGGCAAAGCAGGACTCACTTCCTTGATGTTTCCAGTCTATGAAACCAAGAGGTGTGGTGAGATGAGTGTGAAGATTATTCTGGAAGCTGGAAACAACACCATGGATATCAACTGTACTGATGCTTTCAAGGGATCCGCAAGAGGTACTGGGCCTAAAATGGGGTCTCTTGACTCCAAATTCTGGACACCGTTGTCTTATTTCTAGGTGATGGGCAAGGGGTGGGGACTCACAGAGTATTTTTTTTAATTGAAGGATAGTTGACACACAATAGTATATTAGTTTTAGGTGTACAACATAGAGATTCGGCAGCTATATCCATTACGAATGCTCACCATAAATGCAGTTACCAGCTGCAACTGTGCAGACATTACAATATTATTGACTATATTCCCTAGGCTGTACTTTTCATTCCCACGATTTGTGAAGGGAGGAAGGCTCTACGTGGCGGAATGAAAAGATCTGCCTTGATCACTAAGCAGGCAATTTGGAGGACATACTTTGTGATACCTACTGAGGTTCGAGCAGTGATTCCTTGATATGTTCCCTTAAAAGGGACAGGCGGATGCATGCCCTCTTTCTGTGCAATTGTTTGAAAAGGTAACACCTTAAGGTGGCAGGAAGTTCTTGCCTCAGACACTCTTTCCCTTGTGTGCATTGAATGATTCCCTTATTAAAGCTAGTCACCCCGTCTTCCTCTATTCTGCATTTTGATAGATGTTTTCTGTAAAAGGAGCAGACAGCAAATATTTCAGTTTCTTGGTCCAGATAATCTTAGTTATAACTACTCAACTCTGACGTCATGGTAGGAAAGCAGACATAGATGACATGTAAATGAAGGGGCATGACTGTGTGCCAATAAAACCTTATTTGCAAAAACAGATGGTAGGCTAGATTTGACCCTCAAGCTATAGTTTGCCAGTGTCTTTAGCAGCAGAAGGAGCTTAGGAATGTGTGGCCCCCTCATCCCTAGTGGGGCCCACCTGCCCTTCTGAGAACAAACATCTTGCCTCATGACTCTGATTTTGATGAAGGGTTCATATTTGTTTCTGTAACACATCAATAAGGTATTTTGCATAGAACCCTTAGAACATGTGGTGCATCGTAACATGTGTTACATATACAAAATGCTGCACTCTAAGCCTCATGTAATGCATTGAATGGGTGAGGCAAGGATTTCCAAGGGCGGTTTTGACTGTACATGTTTGCCTTATGGCCTCACACGAGACACTAGTGTACCGAGTCCCCAACCTGGGCACCCTCTGAAATGACTCTCTTCTGTTTTCCCAGCTGGGCATGCAGCCACCCTTATCACACACAGATCTCTTGGCAATGTCCTGAATGGATCTTTTTTCAGTGGTAAAAGAGGGACACAGCAAGTAAAACTGAATTCTCATGTCGTGAGTGGCACCATTGGTGTGAAGGGAAAGGTGTATCTGTCCAAACCTGTGCTCCTGACCTTCCAACATACTCAGGTGAGCAAATTCCAGGGCTGGGTGTGTGGATTACTGTCAAGGGGCGTGTGATCGGCATCCTGGCAGGAAACCAAATCCAACTCAGATCAGGCAGAGTTGGGAGACCCAAGAAATGTTGGGGCACCCAGATACTTCCAGCTTGGGGAGCTGTTATCCCATCTAAGCCTAAAAAGACAAGGAAGAGACGCATTGTTGAGAGCAGTGAAGGGCTAGAGGTTGTAGCGGGGAGATAGTGTGGAGCAGAAAAGGAGTTTGGAAGTCCAGTGACTGCTCAGCACTTCCTCCTATGGGTTCTGCCTATGACGAGGACTCTGAGGAAAACGGTTCATCCCGGGCCAATATCTGGGGCTCTGAGATGAGCAGAGATGTGCAGAATAGACGCAGAACAGACCCCACTGCAGCCGTGGCAGTGTGCAACTCTTTCCCAACACAAAAAGAATGGGATTTTCCCCAATCCAGTGTCCAACCCAGTGCGTCCATGACTAACCCATAACGCTGAAATAATAAAACCAGAGAGATATCCTTTCACGCTATTCTCTTTCCAGCCTGGTGATGGGAGAACAAAACATATCTGCGTCCACTGGGAAGGAACGGAGGAGGGAGACGGCTGGTCGACCGAGGGCTGCTCTCACGTCGGCAGCGACGGTTCTTATACCAGATGTAAATGCTCCCACCTCTCCAGCTTTGCTGTCCTCCTGGCTGTTTCTCCCAAGGTACCAAGATGCATGGTCCCCTCCTGTGAATCTGATTGTGTCCCGGAAGCTGTGGGATCCTCCACTCCACCCCACAGAAAGCGACTCTTCTGAGAAATCAAGCGCTAGTAACTTACTGGAGACGTTATTCCAGGGCGCACCAGTAGGGGCCTGGAGGCGTGAACTGGGAAAAGGACGGAAGCTTGTGCAGAGAGCATTATGAAACCAGTTGCCGCTGTGAGTGACTGGAGCTTAATTCCCCTCTGGAAGACTCTAGCAGTCTATGTTAAAGATACAGCTGAGTCACCCCGATGACTAGCAGGAGAGCTGGGATATTTATACACCACTGCCCTTTAGTTGCTGGTTTAAAGCTGCATCCAGGGGGCACCCCTTCTCTGACCCATCCACGGGCATGGGCAGAGTAAGCTCAAGCTGGCAGAGAAAGCCCTCAGACGGTGGGAAGCTGGGTTGTCAGCCCCCTGTGCAAAGGTCCAAAGTGATCTGGGATCAAAAACACCTGTTACTCCGCAAGAAAGAATGGTAACCACACCTTCCTGGCCAGACCAGAAGGAATGCATCGAGTTCAGATGTGCTATAAGCATAAAATATGCACTGGATTAAAAAATATATATGAAATATCTCATTAATCATTGTTTTACATTGATTGTAATTTGAACTGATTATGTTTTTGTTATTATATTGATTGTATTATATTCAGCACATTGAACCGATAATAGTTTGTGCATATACTATGAAATTAATTCGACCTGATTCTTTTTACATTCAAAAAAATACGGCTATTAGGAAATTTTAGCTCACACACGTGGTGTTCAACAGCCCTGTGTGGTAAACGCTACTCCTGCCCCCATCTTGGAGATGGAAGCTCCACGTTTCAGAGACGTGAAGGCGCTTGTTTGAGAGGCTGAACCGGGAAGCCCACGCGATGCTCTCTCAGGAACAGAGCGGCACGGTGGGAACCATAATGGATTCCTCCTTAGGTGGATTCTGTCCTGACTGTCATCACCAACGTGGGGCTGAGCCTCTCTCTGCTGTGCCTCCTCCTGGCGGCCCTCACCTTCCTGCTGTGCCGATCCATCCAGAACACCAGCACTACCCTCCACCTGCACCTCTCCGTCTGCCTCTTCCTGGCCCACCTTCTCTTCCTCGTGGGGATGGATCAGACCGAGCCTGTGGTAGGTGACTTAACTCAATTACGTCATTTCCATAGCCGAGCCATCCTGTCTCCTCATGCACAGCAGAGCAAGACCCACACTTGGTGAGGGGCCAGTTAGCAAACGGAGAGTCGGACTGGTCCCGTTGGGTAGGGGAACAACAGCTGCTGTTATCAAGTAAGCTCCTGAATGTCTGCGGCTTAGCACAAGAATCGTTCATTTTCCCCTTATGTACAGTAGGTGAATCAGGATGATGGAGGCTCTTCTATCTCCCAGACCCTGCTTTCTAGGTCACCCCAGGGTCATTTCTACTTAAGCCAAGTGGAAAGAGAATACAGCTCGGCAGAGTCTCACGAAGGAGGTTTATGTGGGCATGTTAGTGGGGTGGGCTTATCGTGTCTTCTCACATTCCATTGGCTAAACATTACTCACATGATCACATGTCACCGCAAGGAGTATTGGGAAATGTAGTCTGGTTGGGAAATCACATCCTAGTGACAAATATATATTCTAAAATGGGACAGAGGGAGGCTTGAATTTGGGGGGATGGCAGCTTTGGCACTCTAACAGTGTTAGCTTTTATCTTCGTCGTGATCATCATCATTGTCATATCCAGGAAGCAAGGCTCCTTTTAACCCTAAAAAAATTATGATCTCATTATTATGAAAGCATTATTATTTTTTTCCCCTTGAGAGGCAGTATAGTTCTATGGTTAAGAGTAAGTATGTATGGTCCCCATTTTTATTTTTTACTAGATGTGTGATCTTGCATGAGACTTTAACTACTTTGGGTTTCAGTTCCCTCTTCTGAAAATGGGCAGAGGTTGGAAAACTACAGTGGTCAGGCTGCATCTAGCCCGCTGTTCTTGTAAATAAAATTTTATTGGAACCATGTCCCCCGATATCAGGGCTGCAGGAGGTGGCTGTCCCAGCTCAAACAGAGGAGCAAATTCTCCTTTCCTACACCTTTTTGTTCAATTCAGGACCTGAATGGGTTGGGTGACGCCCACCCTCATTGGTTAGCACAATTTCCTTCTCCCAGTCTACTGATTCAAATGCTAATCTTTTCCAGAAACACCCAGAAATAATGCTTAACCAGTTTTCTGGGCATCCCTTAGCCCAGTCAAGTTAACTCGTAAAATTAGCCGTCCCACCCACCCAAAGGGCAAGGGCAATGGATTTGAGAGCTGCTCCCATGGCATTCATTCCCTGGCACTGCTGGCATGTCCATGCGTGGGCTGAGCAGACTCCGACGGCCAGTGAAAGCCCCCAGCAAATGTATTGCCCCCTGGCAAAATGTCACAGGTGCTGGAATTGAAATTCCAGGCCACCATCCGGGAAATGGAGCGCTGAGGATATAATCCAGAAGATGCTCCATCGGCAACACGGTGCTAACTCCTCCCCTCCCCCCAGGTGTTGTGTGCCGTCATCGCAGGGGCGCTGCACTACCTCTACCTGGCCGCCTTCACCTGGATGTTCCTGGAAGGGCTGCATCTCTTCCTCACTGTCCGGAATCTCAAGGTGGCCAACTACACCAGCGCAGGCAGATTCAAGAAGGCGTTCATGTACCCATTAGGCTACGGGATTCCAGCTCTGATCGTGTCTGTGTCTGCAATAATAGGACCCCAAAATTATGGAACATATACTCAGTAAGTATGACGGGTGCATTTGTGGTGGAAGAGGGGTCCATGGCCAATCAGTGATCTGAAGTTAGAAAACATTTCCTAAAAACCCATTTTCCAATGGTTTCTTACAGTTGACTCATGAACAATGTGGGGGTAGGGGGGCGCTGAGTTCTCAGGCAGTTGAAAATCTGCTATACCTTTCGACTCCCCAAAAAGTAAACTGCTAAGAACCTGTTCATGACCGAAAGCCTCACTGGTAACATAAAGAGTCAATTAACATGTATTTTGTATGTATATTTATTATATATTGCATTCTTACATTAAAGTAAGCTAGAGAAAAGGAAATGTGTTTTCAAATTGTCACAATCTCAAAAAATTTACTAATATATTTATTGAAAGATATCCGGGTACAAGTTGGTCCACACGGTTCAAAGCCATGTTGTTCAAGGGTCAACTATATACTTCAATCTAGTCCTTCCTTTAGCCTGAATTCTATATTCTTCTACACATTTTCAGAGCAATGGTTCTCAGTATCTTTGGAGGCGGGTCCCTTTGAGAATTTTGTTGATTTTGAGAAATTAGGGTCTATTCCCCCAAATAGGGAAGTAGACATTCCAGACAGATGTACATAGAAAATTTTGCATCCAACTTCAGGATATTCTGGGACAGCAAATGCAAATCCATGACCCCCATTACAAACCTGTGTGCTCTATATTCTGTAGGATTCTGGAAAAGTAGATTGAATGGCTTGAGGCTCAGCTCCAAAATGTAAAGAATAACGATCATAGCAACAAATCTCAAAGGCTTGGGGTGCATCGGGGGTCATGCTTCCCATATGCAGTAGCTCTTCTCTTTCTCCCCATGATCTTAGAAAACCAGCAGTGTTCATTACCTCACACAGGACATCTGGGGCATAGTGCATCTGATACACTTTCTCGGGACCACAGCTCAAAAAGAGTAAGTCAGGATTTCCAGGGCAGTGTTCTTGGTAGCTGTGTTTGTCTGCCTCACTAAATGAGTTTGCAAAGCTCTGCAAACTCAAAGTTTGCAAAGTTAGTGTCTTGACATCGGGACTTAGCTTAGGAAGTATGTGTGCACATGCTAAAATGGCATGCATGAGGCTGCCCCTTTTGAAGCCAGAGATCATCCTGCCAGAAGGATTCCAGACGTACAATGAATGGTAGGGTAGGTTAGGGGTTGGCAAACTTTCCATCAAGGGCCAGATGGTGACTCTTTTTGTCTTTGCAGGTCATATAATCTTTGTGGCAATTACTCAACATTGCCCTTGTGCTGCCCCTTTTGAAGCCAGAGATCATCCTGCCAGAAGGATTCCAGACGTACAATGAATGGTAGGGTAGGTTAGGGGTTGGCAAACTTTCCATCAAGGGCCAGATGGTGACTCTTTTTGTCTTTGCAGGTCATATAATCTTTGTGGCAATTACTCAACATTGCCCTTGTAGTATAAAAGCAGCCATCTGAGGTAATATGCAAATGAACGGGCGTGACTGTGTTCAATACAACTTTATTTACAAAAACAAGGGGTTGATGATTTTGACCTAAGGGCTTTAGTCTGCAACCCTTGGAATGGGAGTTAAGTGTGGGAGCTATTCTGCCCACTTAGTGTTGGCAACTGCTTGCTTCTTGTAGCAGTCTTATCCTGCCAGGTCCCCATTAGAAAAGAAGTATTACCTTTGCCAGAAGAAGCCAGAATGCAAAGTATTTGGGCAACAGAGTGCTTGGTACATGGAATATGCTTAACTGGTGTTGGTGGTTTTTATAGCTGTAGTTAGATTATTGTTTTTACACTCTTTCTATAGCAATCATTACTATTGGGATACCTACATTTACTGAGCCTCTTCCAGGAATTGTACTCAAAAATTCTATGCACATTATCTCATTTAGTCTTTCCTACAAGGCCTATCTGAGGAAAAGGACAAAAGTCTGATGAAAGAGATAGAAAAAGATCCAGATAAATGGAGAGATAGTTCATGTTCATGGATAAGAAGACTCAGTATGGTCAAGAATTCAGTTCTTCCCAAGTTGACCTATAGGTTCAATGCCTTCCTAATTAAAATCCCAGAAAGTTACTTTGTGGCTATTGACAAACTGATTCTAACATCTTTATGGAGAGGCAAGGGGACCCAGAATAGCCGACACAGTGCGTTGAAGGAGAACAACGTCAGAAGACTAACACTACCTTAACTTCAAGACTCGGTAAATAGCCACAGTAATCACAGAATCTTTTCAGTCCTCCTGTTAGCCCTTGGAGAAACTGAGGCTCAGAGCTTATAACTTGTGGTAGATGGGACCCATGTCTGAGTCCATCTAAAATCCAGGTTCTGAACTCAACAGTTCCTGGCACTGCTCAGATCTTGCTACAGGCATCTGAATTCAAGTCCTTCTCCTCTGGAGGAATGGCAGCTAATGCTTATCTTTTTCTCAACAGCTGCTGGCTGAAGATTGAGAAAGGGTTCATCTGGAGCTTCATGGGGCCAGTGGCGGTCATTATTTTGGTGGGTGATAGTTATTTATTGGGGTGCCTGCCCTGGGTTGTCCAAGCATAGCGAGTGTGTTTCTTATGTGTTCAAATGGAAAAGAGATGAAAATAAGAAAATGTTGTCTAATGCAATCAACCCCTCTTACTGGAGATACCGTCTTCACATATCTTTTCCTGGTTTTCCCCAGATCAGTGGTTGCTTTGTTAGAATATATCTCTCTGCTGGGGATTCTTTTAAAAATTAAACCTACATTCATTTATTCAACAAATATTTAGCAAATATCTACTCTGCACAGAGGGGTGTGTTTTCCTGTTTGCCAGGAACTTCTTGACTACATCCATTGTCCTGATACAGATATTTACAGCAGTCTTTCACTTTCAAGGTGTACTGGTGTGCGTGATAAATTACATAGTCACCCTAATCAAGGACCAAGTGGAGTATAAAAGACCAGAGCATGTATCCGTACCTCCATATGAAGCCTATTTCTTTTAGGAAAGGATTCTTAGGTCCACCTTAAGTTGGTTTGCATGACATGGCCTCCAAAGAAAATTCCAAGTCAACCTTTAATGCTGTTTCCACAGATAAACTTGGTGTTCTACTTCCAAATTCTGTGGATTTTGAGAAGCAAACTTTCGTCCCTTAATAAGGAAGTATCCACCATTCAGGACACCAGGTAAGAAGGTACCAGAACTGGTGATATCCACAGATTTTTCGCTGCAGGACCACTCTGCTGGGAAAGTAAAACCCATACAAAAATGATATACAATTTCCTGTTACTAAATAAAGACTAGGACACATCTAGAAGAAGCAAAAACTTTGTTTTTCAGGTAACTTAATGCACTCTCATTTCTTTATTCCACAAATATTCATCGGATGCCTCCTTTGTGTGGCACGCTCTCCATATGAAGTTAATGCCAACAGTCAGCATTATCCCTCCACCCCGGGAGCCCACCGCTTCTGGACTCCATTCTTCTTGGTTGTAGAAACTCAGTTCTCACTGGTGCTGACCTAAACGATTAAAAGCAATGATGATGACAACTAGTATTGACTGGAAGCCTGATAAAGGCTGGGTATTTACCAATATTATTTCACTGGATGCTCATAGTCCCAACCTATGTGGTGGCCACTCCTACAAACCTGGTTCACAGGAGGAGCAGGTGCTTCTCTTACTCAAGTGTAGCTGGAAGCATCGCACTGGTGAGTCATGCGGACGTGTATAAAGGAACATCTGTCCGACTCAGGCTCTGGCTTTGACTTCATCTACTTATCAGACCAACCTAACATATCTTAGTCCCAGTTTTTTCAATCTTGGAGGGTCAGAGTGTCCCCCTTCTTGGGATTTCCCCATAGCTCTGTGCATGCGGGTGAGCGCAGGCTCATGCACGTGTGTTCACGCACACTTCCACATGCACACCTCAGCTCTCCCTGCCCACTGCCATCCACAATGCCCTCCATATTGTAAAACACAATTTTTGGTGAAAGAAGCCCAGCACTGTGTCATGTTTTGAAGTCATGATATCATCATCGTCCAAATACTTCAGTACACATTTCTAGAAGGCACCTTGCACAAATCCTCCAACAGGTCCAGGTAAAAGACTTTGCAGGTAAGTCCTTTACGAAGAGTGAGGAACACGTTATTCTCAGGGGCAGTGATTAAACACATAGGCTCTGTCTCATCTTCAAGTTGTGTGACTTGGTGTAAGTGACTTCCCCCCATGAGGTTATCATGAGGCTTAAATAAGGTAACGTGCACAAAGCATTTAGCGCAGTGCCAAACGTGTAATGACAAATGCTCATTATTGTTACTCCTTTCCCTTTTCAGAGTCATGACGTTTAAAGCCATTGCTCAGCTGTTTGTCCTGGGCTGCTCTTGGGGCCTCGGTTTTTTTATGGTTGAAGGCATCGGGGAGATGATTGGCTCAGTCATTGCCTACATATTCACCATTATCAATGTCCTGCAAGGGGTTTTGCTCTTTGTGGTGCATTGTCTCCTCAATCGCCAGGTAGGATTAGTTCTTTCCTTTCTTACCAGCCTCATCCCAAAGTCTTGTGAATGGTCGTCCCAAAGTCTTGTGAATGGTCGTCCCCAAGTCTTCGTGAATCGTTGTCCTGAAGTCTTGTGAATGGTTGTTCACATTTGCATCCTTCTCCCACCTCTTACATTTGTATTTAGAGGCTGCCTTGATGCTGTGAAGAGGTTTCAGGTACTGATTGTGTATGTGTGCTCTCAAAACTTCACTAGCATCCTAACATGTAGCATTCTAGTTCATCGTTTAATAGTGTGCATTCGTCTGCTCGAGCTGGCATAACCAAACACCATAGACAGGGTTGAGTGAGCATTAAATGAATCAACGAGAGCATGGCCAACATCACACAGAAGACCCATGAAAGCCTGCCTGGTGGAGAGTAGGGCATGGCATCCAGGCCTTTAGTCTCCATTTTTGGGTCCTTTCTCCAGACCTAGCTCTGCATGTAACACCAGCTCCTGTATCCCTCAGGTGCGGGTGGAATACCAGAAGTGGCTTAGCGGGATGCGGAAAGGAGTTGAGACTGAAATCACTGAGGTGTCTCACTCGACGACCCACACCAAAACGGTAAGATCGGCTTCTCCGCAACGCCCAGCACTTGTCTGAACCCAGTATCTCCTACTACCAGGAGCTTCCCAGTTCCTTGATCTGAAAGAAAAGAGAAATTGCGTTTAGTTTCTGCATTATGACGATGAAGTTTTGGTTTTGGAGACCCAAACCAAAAGAATTCCTTTTCTCTCTCTGCCCTTTCCTCTCCCCTTCCTTCCTTCCTTCTTCATTCTTTGCACAAATATCCAACAATATTTAACAAAAATTCTTGAATTTCTCTAGTCACGTTCTTTTAACAAATACTTCTTGAGCCCCTACTGTATGCCAGGCACTGATTTAAGGATAACAGCAGTGGGCACATGGACAAAAAACCTTTCCCTCACAGAACTGACATTCTAAAAGGGGGGTGGGGTGCAAAGAATAAATCCCAAAAAGTGGATCATACAGTATATTACAGGGTGATACTTGCCGTAGAAGAAAATAGAGCAAAGAGGAGAAATCTGGAATGCATGGAATTGGAGGACTTTGGCATTAAATAAGGTGGCCACAGTGGGCCCCCCGAGAAAAGTGGACACTTGAGTAATGATGGATGTGTCTGATAAAAGCGACCCTGTGAAATTATCCAGCTTACAAAGACCACCAAACACTTTGGTGGGAAGCCATCAGCTCCTGAACGCTGGGACTCTTGTTCATGGCCTAGATACTCTGCCCAATGAGCTGTTGTTACAAGAGAGACACGCTTTATTTAGGACAAATATGTAAAGCTGATTTTAGGAGGTGAGGATGGTAATGGAGGCGAAGAAGACCGTGAAGGTGGTAGGGGTAACAATGACAGTGGCAAGGATGATAGCAGTGATTATGGTCATTATTTAGGTCATCGGGTCGTTATTTAGGTTGATTTAGGAGCTTCTAAGCCACGGGGGTCGCAGCATTTCCCTCTCCTCCAGCGACCTTGCTCCCCACGTCTGAGCTGTCACTTGGATGGCTGCCTTAGGCTGAGCTCCTCAAAAGCAGGGCTGAAACGGAGATAAGAATCCTGTGATCTACTGAGAAAGAGAAGGACAGAAAAGGACCGGCAGGATGGGGAGGTCAGCAATGATGTGGTCCCAGTTGGAGTCTGGCTTCAGCCTGTTCCCCCGGGGGCTCTGGAGTGTGAATCGCCCCATGGGCTCACAGCCACCATGATACTTAGCTGTTTGTCACTTCAGATCGTCAGCCACCTTTAGGACCAGCTGTTCATGGAACTTGCAATTTCACACTGAAGACAGTTCTGCTTGGTGGCGATTGACTGTGTCCTCACAGCACATGCCACTGCTTATTGCCTGGCTGGAATCACCAGTGTTCAAAAAATATGTAACCTAAACGGTGTAAATGAATGACCCACCCCCCCCCAAAAAAAAATGCTTGGTCATCAACAGCATGTTGTATAGTGGAATCCATGGCATGGATTCCGGGGTTCATCAGATCTGAATTTGAATCTTGACCCTTTTGCATTCTAGCTGGTAGATGCTGGCAAGTAGCTTGACCTCTCTGAGCCACAATTCACTCTTCGTTGAAATGTCTGGTTGATGGACGATCCAAATAGTGCATGTGAAAGCACTTTGCTCTGCTCTGACCCATGTCAGCACTACTTTCGATTAATACCAAATTATCAAGAGTCAACAATATAGACGCCCCAAACAGTAATCATAGTTCCTTACTTCGGACAACACTTTACATTCTAAAAACCACATACTCGACCTTAAAATTAAAATCCCCATGGATCCTTTGTAGCTTTTAAGTGATCTGTCACCGTCACATCACTTTTAAGAGGACCCTAAGTGCCTGGGTCCAAGTCCCAACTCCACCACCCACAGGCTGCAGGGCCTTGCACTTCTATGAGCTGCAGTTTCTTCATCTGTGAAATGGGATAAGAGTCTCTCTTGTCATGAGAATTTAATGAGGTCCCATGTGTCAAGCGCTCAGAATGCTGCCTGGCACACAGTAAACACCTTGTAAATGTTTGTGGAAATATCAACAGGAAAACTGTCATACATGTGTTTTCTGGGAAAAATAGGCTGTAAAGTCAGATATTAGGACGACTTTGGACCTTAGAGAATTCCAGGCGTGCTGGGAGTTTTAGTTAATTTCTGAATCACTAATTCCTCTTCGGCTTCTTTTCCATGTTATCCCGGCAAGTAGGAGCAACCAGGGAGGTCATCCCAGTTCCTGCATCCGAGAGACGCTCCGTCCGTGCAACCCCAGCCCGGGCCTCATCTTGTCACTGTTTTTTGGCAAAGAACGAAAACCTGAGCGGCTGTTGGACAGCGCCCCCTGTGGTCACCCGTGGATCAGACAAACGCAGCCATATGTAGCTTTCTTGGGAAGATGCGTTCATTCTTTCGTTTTGGATTCTATCCCCATAAAAAGAAAGGGGTACGTGGGAGCATTATGCGACCCCACATCGCGGATTGTATACCATGTCCAATTACATGCTCAAGGAACCCTTTTTCGTGACAGGAGATGTAAGTGGATTTTCTTCCTCCAGCCCTTGCCTAGGACTTACTAGCTGATATCTGGTTTCTGCTCAAAGATGTTTCTGGACTGTATTGCATTTTATGCTCCCGAAGATCTTGCATCACTCAGCAGCAGCATAATTCAATGCTTCCCATATGAATAAATATTTCTCAAGGGGGTTGCATTCTTGCAATGTAGAATAACCACCTTCCCGCTGAGGAGTGCCTGGACACTGCGCTCAGTTGACCAGCACGTTCCGAGCGTGAAGACTTTTCAAACCTATTTGTGTACCTGGGTTAATTTTGTTTTCTTAGCAGCATCTCAAATGTGTCCCAGTGTACACGCTCCGCAAGAAAACAGCGTGGCACGTCCCAGCAACGGTTTGACCCTCTTTGTCTGGTTTTACCATGTCTAATTTCTTTTCCAACGTTATGAGATTTTAAGCGTGTTTTTCAGCACCAGACCTAATGAACGCATGGATACTTTTGTCACCAATGTTTTAAAAACAACTATGACAGCAGCAAATGTAAATAGCAGTCAATAGCAGTCAAGAGTCACCATGTTTCATTTGAAGAGATTTCACGTGTGCTGGACAAAGGATGGCTCCCTTTCCTGCCTCATTAGCTCGAAGGTCCCTTCCACATGGCAGCGATGTAACCAGTGTGTGCGATTCACTCCACCTGCTGGCTTTGAAATGATGTGCTTCCTTGTTAAGTTAAAATGTAGGAGGTTCACCTGGTCTAAACATTAGTTCATAGCTGACTGCAAAACGGCCGTAGTAACTATAGGTCTAGGAGGCAATCGAGAGCCACACGATGGGGAAACAGTGACGTCGCAGTGTGCATTTGATGGCCGGACCAGACCCCATCCAATTTTCAGGAATGAAATTATAATATTAATACAAGTTGGCAAAATTTGATCTTGCACTTTAGTTACAAAGACCTAGGTAATGGCTGCATTTGACCTCGAGTTTCCTCTGAACCGCTCCGGGACCAGGTATCCTAAAACGTCAGAAACAGCAGGAAAATCCAATGGAAGAAAAACCATTGTAAAGATGTGAAGAAAACTTTATGGGTTAAGTAGTATTATTGGTTATTACTGAGCGCTTAATAAAATGTATTCTAAACATCCCCTGACTTCTGTGTTTCTGTTATATCGTATCCTGCATGATGCCTGGCTCAACAAATGCTAAATACACATTCCTTAAATTAGTGTGTGAGTGGGTGAGTTCATGCAAACGCATAGGCTTTTTTTTTCACCTCTAATTTTACATTTTACATCTAATTTGAGTCCAGCCCCTCAGGGGGATGAATTTGGGTCCTTCCAGATCCCTTAATATTGGGGACATGTTCCTTAAGATGATTGGAAGCTTACACGATGTAAAGTGGCTACAAGTGTGTGAACTCAAAAAGTCCAGAAAAAGGCAGGCTCCTAAGGAAAGCGTTCGTCTATAACTGGAGTGAATGATCCTTCCAGAAATAATGGTGGCCACCGAAAGTAACTCCTGAAGAAGTCCGTTGAGGTCACCCTGGTGGTCTAGGGAGTGAATCATCAACCAAGACTTGATTGCCAGGCACATACTCCGTACTCAGAGTTGGTGGTATGTGTGACCAACCCTGCCTGCGGTGTCTGCCTGGCTTCCCATCTCCGGGAGCCGCCGCCCCACTGTGGCAGAGCCCATTCACCAAAACCCTCTTTTGCTTTTTCTGAGCATCACGTAGTGTGGTTCACAAAAGTCCTACACTTGGCTTAGTGCTCCAGAGGAGAAGAAAAATAAAACTGAGAGCTCTTAAGGTTTTTTTTTCTTATAAACCCATATATTTATTATTTCCAGTTGTATTCATCTTTCTTACATTTGGGTTTCCTTGGTGGTTTATTTTCTTAAGGTTTTTATAGTGCCATACTTTGAGAGTCTGATTTTTTGAAATCTTCTCCCAGCAAAAATACATAGGGACCGTGAATCAGTTGTAGAGGTGTCCCAGCTGCAAGTCATAGAAACTTAACAGACCCATCTTGCTGCTCCAAGTGTCCAATAATCAGCATACTGCACGGTGGTGTCAGAATGGCATCAGAGTCACCTGGAAATTCGTGACAAAGGCAGAATCTAAGGCTCCGAAATGCAAATCTCAGATCTCAATGAGAATCACGAAGGACTTGGAATCTCTCCAGTTGGGGGCCCAGGAATCCATGGCTTAACAACCCTACACGTGACTCATAAGCATATTTAAGTTTGAGAAACATTGTCCTACTCGAAGTGTGGTCCTTGGACCTGTGAAAATTAAAGGGAAACCCCACTGACATGGGGAGGCCAACAGGGGGCGCTCTCATGCGCACTGCTCCTGCTCAATTGTAGACCCAATAGGAAGAAAGAGACCTTGCACGTGGATACTGTTGTAGATACCAGTTTACTCCCCAGAAGCAGGAAGGTTTCCTCCTCCCCTGGCAACAGCCCAGCCAATGAGAGACTGACAGCCAATGAGAGGCCATGATACTTCCAAATCTCAATTTCCTCCAATGGATTTTTTTGCTTACAACAGCCCTCCCAACTGCCCCCTTTCCTTATAAAAGAGTGTCCTTCTATGGTCTCTGGACTTGCGTGGGGTTGTGTCCTGAGTTACAATTCTCTGCTATTTATTTTTAAAAATAAAGTCATTTTTTGCTGGTAAAATAACTGACATTTTCATTTTTTAAGGTCAACAGACTGGCAGCTCTAGTAAGCATATAGAAATTTATATTCATGACACTGCCTTTAATTAGACCTTGAGTTGACCCATGGAAGTCACACCAATCAATAGCGTCCCTCTTGAAACCACCAAGACTCCTTGAGAAATAGGAAATAAGCTGCTAACAGTTCCCTGTCTGTTATCAGCTAGAAGCTGGGGGAACTATGGCTAAGAGTACAAACTTTCTCCTATGCAGTGAATATTAAACATCTAATGAAATTTGGTTCAAGAACGGTTATACTGTATTGTTCAATGGTTGCTGGTGGGGGACTGGCATGGGGGACATGTCTGCGAGTGGCACGTCTGGGTTTTGAAGGGTGTGTTGAAATAGATGTGTTCAGACTTTTAAATTTTTACTCTAGTTTTTATGCGTTTTTAGGCATGATATTTCATTTCCTTGGAAATAAAAAGAACACTAAAAGCAGTAGTTCTCCGTGTAGGGGGCGGTGGTTTCACGGCCTCGGCCGGACATTCAGCAATGTCACAGCTCAGGGGAAAGGGTGTGGCTGACATTTAGTGGGTGGTGACCAGGGGTGGTGCTCAGCACTCTGCGATGTAAAGGATAGTCCTTTGCAATCATCTAACCCAAAATGTCAATAATGCCGAGGCTGAGAAACCCTGACTTTAAGGAAGACATGGGAATTTAAAAAAAAAATTTTTTTTAATGGCATGAGCAAAGAAAAACAATTAGATAAAAGCTTCATAGGTTAATTCATCTGCAGAAAACTCAACACCACCATGACATTTTTGATCGTTTGTATGTTTAGTTTTTTTTTTTTAATTTCAATACAGAGGGTCTCTTGTCTTTGGACGTGTTCACATGTACATGTGACAATCTGCCACTGACCGAGGACCTTGGGTCAGGGGACAGGTTGGGGCCCATCCATCTGGTTCTTCGGGGAGTACAGAGTCATTTAAGTAGGGTTGGAAAAGAACTGGATTCTTTGCATAATGTTACAAGAAGTTATCTCAAATGGGCAGTGAGGGAATCTTAGCAGGACCCTCCTCCCCTCTCCGTAGGGCACAGAATAGGACATCTTCTAGTCCTCACGGGGGTTGGCTTAGGGAATGTGGTGTCAGGAAAAGGGGTGGCATGTTGGGAATCATAGCTGTGTGGGAGCACGTCACCAACCAGGCTGGGGTGGGGGGGTAGCAGCGTGAGAGGGTGAGCCTGGCATTGACCTGTTGTGTAATCATAGGCAAGTCCTTGAACCACTCTGACCTTCAGTTTCCTCTTCTGTAAAGTGGGGCTCAGAAGAGGCTCTGCTTCCTGACAGGAGTCCACAAGATCGTTTCCGGAAGGCCCTGATCAGGGGAAACACTCGCTCCACATTGGCTATTGATAGTGGGGATATATACCCCATCCACCCGCTGCACCGTGGTTACCTGCATCAAAAGCATTATTTTCTTCAGTTAATTTTTCAACGTTTTTATTGCGCTGTCATTGACATAGAACATGGCGTACGTCTAAGGTGTAGTGTGTTGATTTGCTACCTTGATAGAGTGTAATACAGGGACCGCCCTAGCTTAGCTGGCACCCCCGTCATCTCACACAATTACCATTTCATTTTTGCGGTGGGAACATAAGAGATTTACTCTCTGGGCAACTTTCCGCCATATAATGTGGTCTTTGAACTATAATCGCCCTGTGGTACGTTGGATTCCCCACAACTGAGTCATCTCCTAACTGGAAGTCTGTACCCTCCGACCGACCACCCTCGCCCCATTCCCCACCCCGCAGCCCCTGGTAGCCACCATGCTGCTCTCTGTTTTCAGGTGTTGGGCTTTAGAGCTTATGGAGTTTGAAGGCTACCAGACAGGCTGCTTAAACATTTGCGATGGAATCAGAGGCTCCCAAGACCTCAGCTTTGGGAGAGGACGGACGCGATGCTTCTGCAGCCTGCATGGGGCTTTGTCTCTGCCGTGGGTCGCCCCCTCCTCTTATATTCCCTTTTCCCTTCCTCCTGGTAAAATCTAAGCCTGTTAAGTTGCAGGGCGAGGGAAGAAAGGCGGGAGGCAGGGGTTCTGGAGGGGCCAGACTGCTCCCATTCCTCTTGGGGAAGGAAGCCTAGCGCGGCAGGAAGCGCCCCGCCACCGACCACCCGAGTCCTGCTGCTTCTCAGGACTGTCCTTTGACCCCTGCCGGCTGGGCTGCTGGGGGCAGGGGCTGTAACCTTACAGGTGACCCAGAGCGCTGTCTGCGTCTTAAGGGCTTCCTCAGAGCAACCAGAAATGACGCACCCACGAGAGAAAAGGGGGTGGCTCAGCTGCCAGGACGATGCACTTCTCTGCTTAAAAAAGCAGAACTTTGTCTTCAAAATATGCGTGGCCACCCTAATGAAAATGTGTAAGCATCACCAACAGAGGCAGGATTTGTGTACTAAAGGGAGTGGTGGTGGCTCTGGTTATATTCTTCTTGAAAGCTGGTGTTTAGGTGGGGCTCTCCCGGCTTCTCTGCTACGGGATCATTTTATATTTTTGGAGAAGACACAGTAGTATTTCTTGAGTCCCTATATAAGAAGCCCGTGTGCACGGTAGGAAAAACTAGGAAATGTAGGCACGCACAATTGAAAGCACCTGGAAATGGCCACTTTTCACATCCTGGGATAGATCTGTCCGCACTTTTTCTCTCTCAAGTATTGCATGAGTGGTGAGCATTTATTTTGTTTTGACCTGATTCAAGTGGCCTGTCAGCCACGCCACCTTCAACCTGCTGTAATTGCTCAGCCACTTCTGCAGTTTTTTGTTAAGTTTGGTAAGGTTTATTCGTTTTACAGAACTGATGAAAAACTTAATAAAATGCATTCCCACATTCTAAGGAGGAAGGGAATGGGATCTGTTTAAACCAGCAAATTCTTTGCTGGTAGGAACCTGTTCTACGTAATGACAGGTTTGTCTCGTTTTAACATACGGCCCTTCTTTGTAGGCAAGAAACTTAAGCTCTGTGTTGTAAAGCAGGGTGTGTCACTGGGAGCAATGTCAGGCGGGTGGCCCATGGCCCAGAAGCGCACGGCAGGATTGAAGAATGATTCCTGAAATGCTAAGTCCTCCTGTCAATTTTCAGGGGGTTCCCTGTGGTACCTCCAGTGAGGACCCATGATCCGTCCAGCAAAGATACCTGCAAAAGCAAAGCTCTCTATTTAATAATCGCTGCCCAGGATATTTGAATGGGAATGTCCAGTGCAATAAGGGACAGGCCATTCTGGTGTGGTCCTGGCCTCCATGGCCTCAACAGACAATTGCAGCGTCTGACGTTGCTTCCAAGAGCTCTGTGACTCAGTTAATCAGGACATGCCACGTGACCACACCACTTCTGTGGGTCAGAAGTGGTCAAATACTGGCAGTTTTTTTAGTTCCATTGAACATTATCCTACCTCTGTGTCCCTTA